TCTATGAACAAGGCACGAAAAGGAAAAGAATCGGCGACAGGCCACATCAGGCCTACACTTCAGCGCCGAGATCAATATGTTATGTTAATTGTGCCGTAAATGAGTACCGAGTGAATTATTCGTTCTTTACATTTAAAGGTTTTGAAACGAGCAAAATGATGAAAACGACAGCAATAGGCGAATGGTTAATTATATGTTATGACTTCTATGACTTAATTATCTCTAATCTATCTCTCTAATTATCTCTAATGGTTAATTATCTCTAATGACTTCTATGATATCTATCACTCCCACGTTAGCTTTTCCTTACTTGATCGCAAGATATACACGAATTAGAATCCTTGCGAAAATTACAAGCCCATAAGCTTAACCCTCTACCGCCGTATGTCACTCTCCGGGAACATGACTTTCAACTTAAATTATACGTAAACTATTGAGTGTAGCAACCTGAGGACGTTTGTACGCAGCAGAGAACATTTTAAAGTTGTCGTACGTGGCGGCAACCATCAGTGCAAGTCATTTTGCGCTCAATAGAACGTATCCTTTTTGGGAAGTAGGCTTGTTACAATATTGCACTAATTACTAATATTATTATTACTAATATTATTATATTATAGAAATAATTTTAATATACTACTAATATTGCTCCGGTTACTCAAGTCAGGGGTTAATGGGTTAAGAACAATCCCAAGCTCTACGATAATCGCTAGTCCTTCGATGATCGCGAGTCCCACAATGAGCTCAAAGTTCTTAGTAAATAGGAAATAAATTCTTCCACTTTGAAATTGATCGAACAAATTTCCAGTGAACAAAAAACCGAGAAAAACATGCAAAATTTTCTCTGGCAAGAGAATTAAAAAAATATCAGCAAAATGTTACTGGGGGTTAAGAAAGACGCACGGAAATCATCGAATATATTCCCAGACAAGCTTGGGTCTCGAGAGAACATAGAAACGCTTGAGTATTCGCACAAAATAAAGCATACAAATAGTAAATATATATTGAAACACACGCGAGATTCTCAAGTTCCAGGCGCCAGCTACACGCCTCCTGGCGCCAGCTACACGCCCCCTGGCGTCAGCTACACGCCCCCTGGCGCCAGCTACACGCCCCCTGGCGCCAGCTACACGCCCCCTGGCGCCAGCTACACGCCCCCTGGCGCCAGCTACACGCCCCCTGGCGCCAGCTACACGCTCCCTGGCGCCAGCTACACGCCCCCTGGCGCCAGCTACACGCCCCCTGGCGCCAGCTACACGCCCCCTGGCGCCAGCTACACACGCCCCCTGGCGCCAGCTACACGCCCCCTGGCGTCAGCTACACGCCCCCTGGCGCCAGCTACACACGCCCCCTGGCGCCAGCTACACACGCTCCCTGATTAATTAATGTTAATTTTGATAGGGTAACTCGGTTATATTATTTGAAAATTCCTTTCCTAATTAAAATATATTTATTTTTTAAAGTAATATTAGCAAAGAAAACAGAACTTTATTTGCCGCTGCAGCTATACAAATGTTGATTAAAATGCCCAAAATACGTTTGTATGAAATGTATACAAACAGATAATACCCAGAAACAAGTGCAAATGAAATTATATGCAAAACATCAACGATAATAATTAAAATTAAAGATATATAATACAACACACAATATATATTTGCTTTTTACTAATTATTATTCTAATTGCTGACACAAAATCGTGATTTCTTAACACCATAATGCAGAATATTGTTTACATAATAATGCAAAGTAATGAAAAAATTATCTTTATTATTGTTGGAGAATGTGTTATAATTAAACTAATAATTTCAGAAAATATTTCACACAAGAGAAAAAAGATGACGATCAGTAAAATTTTTATTTTTTACATCCTCGTAAAGATGTTTACTTAACAGCATTTTTTTGACATGTTGTAAATTTTGTTTACTTACAGCAAACAAAATTTATTTCTTGAGTGTAGTGAATATTGTAAAATCCACACATTTGTGTGAATATTGTAAAAGCAAACACATTTGTGTGAAAAATATAACAGCTCACACAATTTTTATTTAGTAGCTGATGTTTTGTGACATTTTTTTCGATTTTCAGACCTATCCCTATTCAGGAAATTGGACTTGAAATTGGACATCAGTTTCCTGAATTTCAACCATCATGAGATTTTTGTGGAATGTTGTGGAAATCTTCATGAAAAAAAATTTTAAAATCAATAATGTAGCAACATTTTATACAGCACCTTAGCATGGCCAGGGACTGCTACATTCAAAAACATTTTTTTTCACTAATTGCTTTTCCTTTAAAAAAATAAGTATGTATATTCCACTATCACATGCCATTATCTTCCATACACGATGTATATTACAAAATTTTAATTAGAAAACTTAATAGATTTAATGATTTACAACCATTAATGATTTTCTAATGGGGTGAAGGGAACATTCAATTAAGCTAATGCTAATTAGTTAATGAGTGTTATCATTTGATTAGCCGCCAATTAAGCTTTGATTATAAATTTGATATTAAAACTTAAGTCTACACAAGTATAAGGACAAGAGCTTTTAATTATTAATCACACTATTTAATGGCCCAATTAAATATACTTAAAAACGATATTATTTACCCAATATCGTCAATTATTTTGTATTGCTTTGCAAATATTGAGCTAACAAATGTTTATATATTAGAAAATATTGAGAAATTTAATTAAAAATGGAAAAAAATTAAATGACTTAACAATTGATTTGTAAAAATTCAAATAACAAATAATTAAAAATGAAAAAAATAATGAAATGAGTGAACAATTGATTTAAAAAAATTCAAATAACAGATAATGTAATTTAGCTTTAATTATCAATTATAAAGATTAATTAAACAAAAATTATTCATTTCAAGAATTCATAATTGCAAAATTTATTAATTCTAGAACACCTAACATTCCTGAAACTTATTCAGCATGGTCTTTATTCAGTTATAAACTATTATTATTTAACATACAATTAAATGAATGAATGAAAATTGAATTTTTCTCCACGTAAAAAAAAGTTCAAAAGTTGTTTCCAGAAAAAAAATAATATTCAAAACTTTGGTTAAAAAAAAGTTTAAAGTTGGTTTTGAAAAAAATTTCTTTTAGAAAATCCGGTTCTGAAAAAAAATTAAAAGTTCGAAAAGTTGATTTTGAATTTATTTTAATTTGGTTCTGAAAAAAATTTAAAAAAGTTTGAAAAGTTGGTTAAGTCGCTGAACCATAATTTAAAAATATTTAATATTATATTTCTCTTATTTAATAAATACATGTTTTGAAATGAAATAATCCATGTTTGAAAAAACAAATTAAATGGATTAATATATTAATATAAATAATTAATATGGATATATATATTGATATTAATATATTACAAAATCTTCAATGTATTTATTATTCGTTAATTTGTTAATAAGATTATATATTTTTCACAACTGACATATGATATAAATTGACTATTAAAATTTAACCAAGTTATTCAAAATTAGAATTTTATAGTTTTTATCATTGTTTTTATCATATAGTTTTCAGCATTGCTGAAATTTTCTGAAAAAACATTTAACCTGTAATAAATTTTTTTATACGAAATCAAAATAAATTTTGACTGAAGATAATAAATGGAATACCGTATAAGAAATATACATAATAAATATAATATATAAATAAATAGAATAAACATATTAACTATATATAATAAAATTATCACTAAATACAATGAATATATAAAAAATATAACTGACCCTGGTGGAGGGGTTGGAGGGGTTGGAGGGGAAGGGGGTGCCCCAGGGGTCAGTTTTGGCCGCCCCAAAATCGGCCCAAGTTGAACCCTCCTTGCTGTTGAACCCTGCTACTTCTGAGTCCGAGTTCGAGTTGAACAGCGTTGAACTCGCTGTCGATGTCTGCACTGCTGGGTTGAAGCTAGAGTTTTGATTGGGGAAGTTTGCATTCAAGTTAGAGTTGAAGTTGAAAGCATCAGATGTTGAAACTTGAGCTGTTGAACTTGAATTTGTAAAAGCGTTGGCAAAGTTTGAGTTGAAATTTGCCCAGTTGTCGTTACTATTCTTTGACGGAGCTTGAATAAAGTTAGAGGTTGTGTTCGAGGTTGAATTTGAGTTAAAGCTTGAAGTTGAACTTGGGTTCAAGTTGGAAGTTGTGTTTGGGTTAAAGCTTAAAGTTGAACTCGGGTTCAAGTTGGAGGTTGTGTTAGGGTTGAAGTTAGAGTTAAGACTTGGTTCAGCAGCCAGGTTGGAAAAGTTGGCCCAGTTGTTGCAGGCTTCAAGAGACGCTGCGTTGTTGTTGCTCATGTTTGACTCAGCCACTCCTGTTAGTAAATAATTTCAATTATAATCATAATAATGAGCAACAAATCATAATGATAATAATGATAATGAGCAACACTTGTCAGTAGAAATGATAATTTTTTATACCTAGCATTTTTAATTATCATACATGATATAATGAAACAATTGCTTATACCATATCTATTATGATATATAATATAAACTCCAGTCAGTATAAGATTATAAGTCTTATGAAAATGATACGACCTATTATGATATACCGTATGATATAATGAAACAATTGATTATACCTATTATGAAATGATATGAAACAATTATTTCAGACCCCCTGTATACTATACATATGTATCATTTATACATGTCAATACATGTATAAATGTATTTTATTTATAAATATATATATATATATTTTAAATGTATTTTGACATTTATACATGTCAAAATATTTATACATATGTATCATTTATACTCATACATGTCAAATTTTTCTTTAAATCTTGACAAGAATTTACAATATTTCTTATAATAAATATACATTCATCTCAATGTACACTGAGAGAAATGTGTGGGTCTGGATGACCCACTTAGAGGAGTCAACCGCGTCCAAATATTGATGCACTTTTTTGACTCACTTGTGATATTTGTGGGTCATACTGACCTATTACTGGCCCTTTAAATTTCAGGTGTGACACACTTGTGGTGTCAGAAGCGGGTCATGCATTAAGTTTAAAGGGCCAGTAATAGGTCAGTATGACCCACAAATGAGTCAAGTGAGTAAAAAAACTGCATTGTTATTTGTACGCGGGTGACTCGTCTAAGTG